ATTCATGGAAGTAGCAGTAAAGAAATCAATGACATATTGCATTAGGCAAATGTGCTGCAAAAGACCACTTTAAAGTGTTCAAGAGCAAATATATCAGTTTAATGACATCATATTTGGTAAAACGCAGGATCGGTGAGAAAGAGGAAGATCCCCCAACAAGATAGATTGACACACTGGCAGCAATAATGTGCTTAAGCAGAACAATTGGGAGGATGGCACAGGACAGGGCAGTGTTTTATTCTGTTGTACATAGGGTTGTTATGAGGTGGAATCAACTCGACAGTACCTAACAGCAATAATATGTAAAGATCAGTTTTCTTTTTAATTATGCATAGCCTTTTGATTGTGTGTATTTTTTTGTGATCCATGGCTTGCTCATTGTTAATTTCATATGACAAAGAAACTTACGGCCTTTAAATTCTGTATATTTTAGAACAGATGAAATTAATTTGTGAAGTACATATATCATTCATAAGTGAATTTATAGATGAAAAAAATGTATTCTTGAGAAGCTACTTCCATTTGCCTTTTATAAACTTTGACATCTTACAAATAAAATGACCTAAGAAATAGATATATTAGTATCATTGATAAAAAATGAAAATCTAACTTTTATCCTAAGATCCAAAACTTTGTATGTTGTTTTGGTGATAGAATGATAAAGCCAAAATGGTTTGTACTCTTAATGCCTCATTCTAAAATTCCTGCCTATGGTTACTGACCACCTTTGTGAACTGAAGAACGTGTTTTCTTCTTTCCATTTATCTGTACTCATTGGAAAGACCAACCAACAAGTAATACTTACTTTTACACATGATGCATTTTATCATTTAAACTTCAATGATTGCTTTTATTCCTTCTTTTATTTCCATTTTATGTGTTTTCTTTCTATTGATTTATTTTTATCTGTTTATCTTAGCTATTTTTTCTATCTTGAAATAGCTTTGATTTTAATGAATGTTATATGAACGAATTTTACACACCACCACCACATTTTCAAACGAGCCTAATTTTCAACAATTATTTTAGATCCACATTGCTAAATATAGGGTTTCTGTGATTCAGAACCAACTTGGTGACATTGGATACATTTGTTTGTTTCTTTTAATTGTGCTAAATGTTGGGGACTCAAAAGTAAAAAATGGTTCTTCATTTTTCAGAACATCCAGATTATATGGGAAAACATATTCATCCATTCCTACAAAAATTATTTGTGTTCACTATGTTTAAAACAGGAGCTCTGGTAGCGTAGTGGTTACGAATCGGGCTGCGAACCTTACGGTCAGCGGTTCGAAACTACCAGCTGCTCCGCGGGAGAAAGATGAGGCTTTCTACTCCCGTAAAGATTTACACCCTCGGAAACCCTGTACAGGGTCGCTATGGGTCGGACCCGACTCGATGGCACTTAACAACAACAACAACAACAATGTTTAAAACACTGTTGTTGATTCTAGGAATATAAATGTGAATGAGGTTGGTTTGGTCCTTAAGGAACATGCAATTTAATGGCAAACATAAACAAGCAGCATCCAGTTGTAGTATGCTGGAAGTGTACATAAATGAAATGCCATGAGAATCCCTGCTGAGATCATATTAACCAGTCTTCTAGAGGTCAGATTCAGTGTCCTTGCTGTTGTTAGGTACCTTCAGGTTGGTTCCGACTCATAATAACCCTGTCTACGCACAACAGAACCAAACACTGCCTGGTCCTGCACCATTCTCATCATTCTTCGTTAAGTTTGAACTCCTTGCTGCTACCATTGTGCTGTTCCATCTCATTGGGGTTTTCCTCTTTCTCACTGACCCTCCACTTTACCTATCATGATGTCCTTCTCCAGGGACTGCTCCCTCCTGATAATGTGTCCAAGGTATAAGAGATGAAGTATCATCATACTGGCTTCCTAGGAGCATTGTGGATGTTCTTCCAACACCATCTCTAAATGCTTCAATTCTTCTACTGTCTTCCTTATTCACGGTCCAACTCATATCCATAAGAAGCTATTGAAAATACCATGATTTGGGTCAGGTGCACTTTAGTCCTTGAACTGACTTCTTTGCTCTTGAACACTTTAAAGAGGTCTTGTGCAGCAGATTTGCCTAATACATCATTTGATGTCATAACTAGTGGAGTGGAAACTTAACCTGTGAACTTGATGGACTAAAAAAAAAATAGCCAAGTTTCTGAAAAGGGTAGAGCAGTGGTGTTCCAGGCATAGGGTACAGTATGTGAGGAAGCCCGTACTCAAGAAAGGAGAAAGTGCCTATGGAGAACTATACATTAATTCTGTATGGATGAAGAGTAAAAAACGAGAATGATTAGTAGTGAGAGATGTGGTTGAACTATATTGAAGAGGAGGTAGGTAGGAGCGAGGCAGCATCAAGTCCTGAGAAAGAAGAGCCCCTTGGCTCCAGGTCTGTATAGGACAGCCCTACTTTATGACTTTTATAGTAGTATACTTATTAACAAAATATAAACAAAAGGGCGTCAAAAAGTTCATGAAAAATGGAATAGAAAGATAATGGACTTTTTTCACAATCATTTGTTAAGTCTGTGTGTGTATCTTATAAATGGCGTCAAAGGGAGAGTGCAGTGTATGAGGTGGTGACCTATACTAGAAGTCTGTCTACTCTCGCACAAAGGAAGGGTTTCTACTCTTTGAAAAATGGCAAGGGACTGTAAAATTAATTAGCAACCAGATCCTAAAAGGAATTATAAATCATCTAGAAAGAAAAATAGCCTGAAATCTTTAGGATTAGGCAGAAGAGAAGCCGTAAAAGATACTAAGCTTGGAAGCACTGTGATTTAATCTTTTAAAAATTTATTTATTTTTTGTTGTTGAGAATATACATAACAGAACATACACGAATTCAGTAATTGCTACATTTGTACTAGTCAGTGACATTAATTACGTTCTTCATGTTGTACAACCATTCCCACCCTCCTTTTCTGAACTGTACCTTATACCCATTAACTTAAACTAGCCCCTAAGTTCTTTTTATTTAATCTTTCAAATTGCTGTTGTCAGTTTGATACCATGTAGCTAGCTAGATCTTAAAAGAGCCCAGTGTTCAAGGCAGATACTCTTTATTAGTTAAGCTAAATTATTGGTTGATTTTAAGAAAACTTCAGGTGATATTTTTGGTTTAAGGTTTAAAAATTACCTCAGGGTAGTAGTTTCTGGGGTTCATCCAGCCTCCAGTGGATTCAAAAAGTCTGGATTCCATGAGAATTTCAAATTCTTTTCTGTGTTTTCCTTCCTTTTGATCAGGATTCTTCTACAGAACATTTGGTTAAAACATTTGGTAGTGGTAGTTGAACAACACCCAGTTCTTTGGATCTCATGGGCAAGAGACTTAGACATTTCACCAAAGAGGACATTCAAATAGCTAAGATGCTCAGCATGATTAGCCATCAGAGAGACACAAATCAGAACCACAATGAGAAACCATTTCACTCCTAAGAATGGCTGGCTTCCTGGTGTGGAGCTAAAGGATAAGCACTGGATAGCTAACCACAAGGTCAGTGGTTCAAACTTACCAACTGCTCTTCAGAAACCCTATACAGGGTTGTTGTAAGTTGGAACTGACTGGATAACACTTAACAACAACAATAAGCAGATCCTGAGGCTGCTTATGTACATGCAAACACCTTATAGGATTTTATTAGTTTAGGCTCATAGCTTTATGGGACATCCCATAAATTGGTCTGGAGTCCTAGTATAGAATCATAGGATAAGCACTGGACCACAAGGTCGGTTTGAATGATAAGGTCAGCAATTCAAATTCACCAGCCGCTCCTTGGAAACTGTATACAGGGTCTCTTTGAGTTGGAACCAAATTGAGGACACTTAACTGCAGCAACATGGTTAGTGCTTCTTTTCTACCTCTTAGTTCTTTGCATAGTTTCTGGTGTTTTACGAGCTTTCAAACAGTCATCAGGGTATGCCAGTTGATCTTTATTTGCTTGAAGCAACAGAGGAAGGAGAGTTGTGATTAGGAGGAGGAAATGGAATATGTGGCCAACTGCCTCTTTTGCCATAAGACAAGATTACTTTGATGGCACAATGAAGACTGAATTAAGGATCAGATGGTATTAGAGGCAGGGGAACAGGAAGCTTTCTCAATAGTCTAAGAGTTAAATGAGTACCTCTGTGAAAACAATGGTGGTAGGTGTGAGAGGAAGAGCATTTATTAAACATCTGTGTGATAAACATAGTAAAGCAGACTAGGCACTGTGACATCTTTAACATGAGTAAGAATGATTGCCTAGCTTCAGATGGGGACAGCTGATTAGTTTATAGTGTCATTGACTAGAATAGAGACTACCACATTAGGAACAGGTTTGGAGAAAACACAGATAATGAGCTTAGCCTACTCACTTACTGTACCTTTGGGGCTGAGATGAAGAATGAGGTGATACTCAGGGGGAACAAGTCTGATCCATAAATAAGAAATTTAAGAATCTTCAATCCATGCAGGTGGCTGTTGTGGTTTAGGTGTGATGATGTGTTCTATGGAGAGTGTGTGCAGTTAGAAGAAAGTGGGATCCAGGCCTAAAGGCAAGAAGCAGCGTTAATTTAGAAAGTAGTGGAAAATCACAACTTGTGAAAGAGACTTAGAAAAATTGTCATAGAAATCAAGAGAAGAAAGACTTTCTTTGGAGAGCGGGAAGGTAGCTACTGACTGGAAAGATACTATTGAAAGTAGAAAGTAAACATTCTGTCTTAAGCTTTCTCTCTGATTAATTCCATTTTATAGCTTCAGTTACAGTTTTCAAGTACAGTTTGTCTTGGTATAAAACATATTTCTGTAGTATATTCTTCTGTAACTAGTAAGCAGGGAACCTGGGATCTAAACAAAGTTGGTGTGTCTGTTGTAAGGTCTGTACTTTTTGCAGGATACCTCTCTTTCAGATTCTTTCCATGTATTCAAGTCAAAGTTTTTGAGTCTTACCTGTTTTTTCTCTTTGCTTTTTTTTTTTTCTCAATCCCTTCCAACAGCCACAATATGAGAACACTTCACTGCAGGCTTCATTTTCAGAACACTCAGTATCCAATTCGCAGCAGGAGGAACTTGAACAAAAGCTTGCATCAGCTGAGAAAGAGATTTTACAGCTCAATGAGTTTCTCAAACAAAAAATAACCCAATCTACTGACGAAAAGAAGAAACTGGAGGAAAAGGTATATATTTTAATAAAGTTGTATGTGATAACTACATTCTTTCACCAAATAATTTGTCATCTACTTTGTCATGAGGTTTTACATTTATATTAAAGTAATTAGTTTTGCAGTGACTTTAAAAACCTGCTATCAACATAAATCCAAGGATTTTCTTGAGAGGTAAAAATATCCCTTTATTGTTGTTGTTATTGTTATTAAGTGCAGTCAAGTCTGTTCCCACTCGTAGCTACCCTGTATAGGGTTTCCAGAGAGCAGCTGGTGGTTTTGAACTGCCTGTTGTGTGGTTTGCAGTCCAGTGCAGTCCTACAGCACCACACCAGGAGTCCTACCTCTTTATTGTTGTTGTGAAGTGCCATCAAGTCAGATGCAACCCTATATAGGGTTTCCAAAGAGCGACTGGTGAGCTTGAACCACTGACCTTGCAGTGCAAATGGCTTTGCAGTCTGGTGCATAATCCACAGCGTCACACCAGGACTCCCTATATAGTATTATCTATTTTATAGTATTATCTATTTCCATTGAAATCTTTTTAAGTCATTTGCTGATAACTGACTTTTGGTTGTTGTTGTTAGGTGCCATTGAGTTGGCTACAAATCATAGAAACCCTATGTACAACAGAACGAAACACTGCCCAGTCCTGTACCATTCTCACAATTATTGTTATGCTTCAGCCCATTGCTGCTGCCACTGTGCCAATCCATTTCATTGGTGTATTCTTATTTTTCACTGACTCTCCATTTACCATAATGTCTTTCTCCAGAGACTGGTCCATCCTGATAACATGTCTGAAATATGAAAGACAAAATCTCACCAGACTTCTAAGGAACACAGCCTGGTTGTAAATCTTCCAATACAGATTTGTTTGTTCTTCTAGCAATCCATGGTACTTTGAATATTCCTCAACACCATATGATGTTGTAGTAGAATATTGAAGGTGCCATGTGCTTCCAAAAGAACCAGTAGATCTGTTTTAGAAGAAGTGCAGCCAGAGTGCTCCTTGGAGGCCAAGATGGCCAAACTTCATCTCTCATACTTTGGACATATTGTCAGGAGGGACCAGTCAATGGAGAAGAATATCATATTTGGTAAGGTGGAGGCTCAGAGAGAAAGAGGAAGAGCCCCAATGAGATGGATTGGCCAAGTATCAGCATTGATGGACTCAAGTGTGGCTACAGTAGTGAGGTTGGCCCAGGATCGGGCAGTGTTTCATTCTGCTGTGCATAAGGTCGCTGTGGGTCGGTACTAACTCAATGGCATGTAACAACAACAACATAACTCAAATGCATCAATTATTCTATGGTGTTCCTAATTCATTGTTCAACTTTCACATGTACATGAGGCTATTGAAAATATCATGGCTTAGGTCAGGTGCACTTTAGTTCTAAAACTGTTATCTTTCCTCTTGAACAGTTTGGTGCAGCAGATTTGCTAATGCAGTAGTACATTGTTTGATTTCTTGACTGCGGCTTCCATGAGTGTTGATTGTGGACCCAAATAAAATGAAGGCTTTTACAACTTTGATGTTTTCTCCATTTATCATGATGTTATCCATTGATCCAGTTGTGAGGATTTTTGTTTTCTTTATCTTGAGGTGTAATCCATACATATATCAGTAAGGCCGTATTTTCCAATTATTGACCCTTGCTCTTTGTTTCCAACCTTCACATTCCAATCACCAGTCATTATCATTATCAGTGCTTCTTGATCGCATGCTTGATCAATTTCAGACTGAGGAAGTTGGCAGAATTCTTCCAATTTAATTATCATTGCCTTTAATGGTTGGTGATAAATTTGAATAATAGAGGTGTTAACCACTCTTAATACCGACTGGTATTAATCAGTAGATATATGGTTATTATCCTATCACAAACAGCATTTTATTTCAAGATAAATGTGCTTTTTTTTTTTTTTTTTTTTTTTTTAATTTAAGGTTTTTATTGTGGATTGAGTGAAAGTTTACAGGGCACATCATCAGTTTCACATTCAACAATTCATATAACTTGTTTCATTACATTGATTATAATCCCCTCCATATACTCTCAGTTAAAAGTATTTCTCTCTATCCACTTTAGCTTTTTTTTTTAAAAAAAAAACCCACTCAGGTATATATAATAAATTACATCTCCAAAGGGCACATTCTGCAAGTCTGCTCCTGGCCACCAGTTCTTAGTCCTTCTCTTCTTAGTTGTTCAATATTTTGCATATTGAAAGTATTCTTCAATATTGCAACTCAAGGCTTGAAATTTTTCTTTAGTTCTTTCAGCTTAAGAAATGTTTAGCATATTCTTTCTTATTGTTTTAGTTTGCCTCCAGGTTTTTGCACATTTCATTATAATACCTTTGTCTTCTCAAGCTACACTTTGGAATCTTTTGTCCAGCTATTTTTCTGCATCGTGTCTTCTGTTTGATTTAACTTTTCTGTGTTCTTGAGCAAGTTTCAAAGTCTCTTCTGACATATTGATCTTTTCTTTCTTTCCTGTCTTTTACTTCTTTATATGAATTTAGGTTGGGATATACCCCAGATTGTACTTTAGCTCTCATCAGCTTATTTTAATTTTCTTCACTTTCAACTTGAACCTGCTTATGAGCAATGGATGACCTCTTCTACAGTAGGCTTCTGACCTTGTTTTAACTGATGATACTGAGCTTCTCCTTTATCTCTTACAAGGATGTAGTATATTTGATTCTTGTGTATTCCATCTGGTTATTCCACATGTATTGTTGCCAGTTTGTTGTTGAAAAAAAGGTATTTACAATGAATAGGTTTGTTGGTCTTGTAAAATTATATCCTGCATTCTTCAGCATTGTTTTTATCACTAAGGCTACATTTTCCAATTACAGATCCTTCCTTGTTTCCAACTTTAACATTCTAATCACCAGTAATTATCAATGCATCTTGAATTGCATGTTTGTTTAATTTCAGATTGCAGAAGTTAGTAAAAATATTCAGTTTCTTCATCTTTGGCATTTGTGGTTGTTTTATTAATTTGAATAATAGTTTTATTAATATCCTTTTGGATATATGATATTATCCTATCACTGATTGTTGTACTTCAGGTAGATCTTGACATTTTCCTTTTGACAATTGATGTGACGCTGTTGCTCTTCAATTTCTCACTCCTGGCATAGTAGTCCGTGTTTTTGTATGATTTGAAATGGACAATCCTAGTCCATTTTACCTTAGTAATGCCTAATATATGTATCTTCAAGCATTCCATTTTATTGTGGACAGCTTCCAATTTTCCTAGATTTAAAATTTGTTGAGAATGCAATGTTAGCAAATGAAATAAAGCTGGTGTTTTTTTCTGAGCACAAACCCCAAACAAGGCACAAAACAATTTCGTCATCCTAAGAACTTCCATTGTTTATTTTTCCAGTCAATCTCCAGTCCGTGAAACCATTTTTGATATTTATCTCTCATTTAAAAAATATATATTTCTTCATAAGCTCTGTGAAGGCAGAGGCTATATCTGAATGTGTCACCAATAGTATATGCAGCACTAGCCATAATGCCGGGAATACCATTAAATCTGTGAAAGAATTCTTTTAAGTAATATTTACCAAAAGAGAAGAAAGGAAAGCAGATTTGATCCAGAGGAAGGACTGGGAAGTTAACAAGTAAAGAGAAAGAGTTCAAAGATGTCAAAGTGGGTTGTAAGCTCCTAATAGAGCCTGGGAAAGCCTCGTAACAGATGTCAATCTTTTCTACAACAGGGCCTTCCTGTTGCCTTCTAGGGATGATCTCAGTGTTATATAATACCTCCTGAAAGAAAAAAACTTAACAATTTAAAAATACGAGGCAGCTTAAAAAGTTTGTAGGAAAATTTCATTATCTTTTCAGTCAATTTTTCCATAAACTTTTTTGAAGCCCCTTCTTATATACAGAAGATTTCTTAGTGATACCTCATTTACTTGTCAGTAAGTGTTGGGAGTTCAGACCTCATTAATCTGTTAATCTGAAGCAACAGAAAACCTGAATGTTAAAAAAAACAAAACCAGAAAGCTTATCATCAGTGAGCAGGGCTGGAAAATACCAGGGCACAGTGATAGATAATATGTGATCAGCGGATAACAGAGATGTTGTCTAATGTGAGAGTGTTGGCAGGGATTTGTGATAAGGGAAGTAGACTTGACATGATAGCAAAGAAGCCTGTCAACCAGAAGAAAGCTAGGACACCTTTGTGTTTTAGAGACAGTATGCCTAACCTATTTCAATAACTGCTGTTTGAGTGCATCGTTGTGCTACATTTCAGATCTTGTAATAGCTCTGAATTAGGGAGCATTTCCTAAAAATAACTGATTAGTTATGTTTATTGTTGTTAAGTGCTGTCGAGTCGGTTCCGATACATAGCGTCCTTGTATGGGTTTCCAAGGAACGTCTGGTGAATTTGAACCACCAACCTTGTGGTTCAGACCGACCTTGCGGTTGAGTGCTTATCCTAGGATGCCACACCATTTACTACTGCAATTTGCAGGGTCATTTGCTAAGGCCATGTGGGCCTTGATGGGAAACCCAGGAACAACTGATTTCTAGGGAATCTGTTGATAGAGCTCAGCTGCCCTGTAGGGTATAATAATCTTTATAGGAGACGATCTCCAGGCTTAACAACCAACTGAAAGGTCAGTGGTTCAAACCTCACAGTCACACTGGTAATGAATAGTTTGGAAGATTTGAAAGGACATTGGCTTTTAGTCAGATGATGTAGTTTTAAATCTCAACTCTCATCTATATGACTTTTAGTTAAGTCATGAAAGAGCTCTGGATCTCACATTTTAAAAGGGGATTGTATTAAAAGGCCTTCAGTCGTTACCAGTTGGTGAGTTTATCCGTTCTGATCCATCACAGGTTAAATGATGTCACATCAGTAGATTCAGTTGTACTCCTAAGAAATCCCTGATAATAAGGTTTGTGTCTTTTACCAATCAAGATCCCAAATAGTAAACAGATCCAAAAGAGCCCTGGTGGCACAGTGGTTAAGTGCTCAGTTGTTATTGAAAAGGTCAGTAGTTGAAACCCACCATTTACTCCAAAGGAGAAAGCTGTGGTAGTCCGCTTCCGTACAGATTGCCATTTGAGAGACCAGATGGGGCAGTTCTACTCTGTCTTATAGGCATCACATACTTGACTCATGTCAAGCAAAGACGGTTTTTGTTTTGTTTTTAGGTTTGTGGTTTTGAATGTTGTGTTGCCTTGGAAGAAAGGCCTGACCATCTATTTCTGAAGAGTCAATCCTGGAGAACCGTTCTACTCTGGCATATGTGAAGTCACCATGAGTCCCAGTCTACAGCAGCCTGTATTTCTGCTTATTAATGATATTAATGACATGAAATACTAATGCCATTGATGAAATGAATCGATGAAATAAGATGTGATTCATTTTTCCAATTGAAATTGCTTTAAATAAAAGTTGTTATGCACTGGACCTGAAAGAAATTAGGCAAAGCATAAAAAAGAAGCAAGATTGTACACGAGTTAGCTTTAATGAAATATGAAAGAATTATCGTTTATACTACTATTACTGCTCACTTCCCTGGTGACTATGACAGTTAACAAAGAAAACAGAAAAGGCAGCAAAAAATATTTTAGAACTCCTGAAGTTTCTCAAAGAGTAGTAACTCTTTGGGATGCTGGTAATTTTAGGTAAACATGAGTCTGGAGTTAACTGGTTTTTAAACAGCTGTGCATGCATAACAGGTACACTGGTGGCACAGTAGTTAAGAGCTTAACAGCTAACCAAAAGGTTGGTGGTTCAAACCCACCATTCACATGGTGGGAGAAAGATGTGGCAGTTTGCTTCTGTAAAGATTGGGGGGAAATATTGTCAAGGAGCTCATTCCAACTCATAGTGATCCTATACCAAACCCCACTGCTGTTCAGTCGATTCTACCTCAGTAACCCTATTGTTGTTGCTAAGTGCTGTTGAGTCGATTCCGACCCATAGCCACCCTGTATTTCCGACCCATAGTGACCCTGTATAGGGTTTCCAAGGAGCAGCTGGTAATCTTGAACCACCGACCTTGCAGTTCAAACGGCTTTGCAGTCTGGCACATTAACCTACAGCGCCATACCAGTGACCCTATAGGACAGGATAAAACGTGGCCCTATGGGACAGAGTGAAAACCTATGTAGCTGTATATCTTTATGCAATCAGACTGCTACAGCTTTCTCCCATGGAACCACCAACGCTGTAGTTAGCATTGTGCCACCTGGATTCTATCCTTAATTATTGTTGTTGTTGTTAAGTGCTGCCAAGTAGATTCTGACACATAGCGATCTTGTATAGGGTTTCTGAAGAAGCGGCCAGTGAGTTTGAATTACTGACCTTTGGGGTCCAGTGCCTTATCCTGCAGCACCACACCAGGACTCCATAAACATCACAGCCTGGGAATCCTTACAGGGCAGTTCTGTTCTGTTTTACTTTGTCCTTTGAGCTCTGGTGTGGCTCTGTAGGATAAACACTAGACTGCTAACCAAAAGGTCGGCAGTTCAAATTCATCAGCCACTCTTGGAAACTCTATTAAGGGTTACTATGAACCAGAAGCAACTCAGCGGCATACAACACTCTGTCTTATAGACACGTACTGAACCAAAATCTATTTGATGGCAGTGAACTTGGTTTTTTTATTTATTCATGTACACATTGCTTTAATTGATCATTAATATGACAGAACTTGGAATATGAAAATGAAATTTAAACATGGCTTATTTTAGGTGGTAAGGTAAGAAAATCAGTATATAAAAATCCTGAAATTCAACTGATACAAATTGGATTTACTAGGATCATGAATGTTATACGTTCTGTAGTAGGCTTTAAGTTAGTATATTTCATCAATCCTAAGACAACATCAATGGTAAGACACACCTTTATTTTATGTACCTCTTAGAAAGAAAATACGCTGCAAATTCAATTATGACACAATGCTTTAACAGTAGTCTTGCTTGAGGCATGGATTGGTTTTACTAGCCCCTCATCTGGTCCTAGGGATTTGGTAAATTCTGGCCTTAGTTGCATTGCTTAGAACATGATAAGCAATCCCTTTGCGTGTCTGTTAGTAACAAAATAGCTTTACTTACTGTAGGCATTTTCCTTTCTGAGTTTGCACAAAGCATTTAGAACTAGCTTTGCAAAAACAGTAAGGAATTGGAGTCAGCCCCCGGATACGAACACTTGCTTCCCTGATACAGAATTATACCCTGAGGCTCTCTTTCTTTCTGTCTTTCTGGGTGTCTAATAAATTTGTATAAATTGTAACACTTTTGAAGACATTTTAAAACTTCATTTAAATTCAGCACATAGTTTCAACTTGTACAGAATGCTGTTGAAATGATCAAGGTTTTAATAATCTTATGCAGTCACACATGTGTAAGCAGTTGCAAGTGATTCATGTTTTCCACCCAGCTGCCAGCAGTTTGTGACTCCGTACAATAAACACTGGACTGCTAACCAAACTACTTGGTCCAGTGGTTCAAGTCCACCAGCCGCTCCATGGAGATCAATAAGGCTTTTTGCGCCCACAGAGATGTACAGTCTCAGAAACCCTATCCAGGGTCGCTATGAGTTGGAACCAACTTGACAGCACTTACCAACACCAACAACAAAAGTATCAGTTGTAAAAGCAAGCAAGCAAACAAGGAAAACCCTCCAAAGAGTTGAGAGAGGAAAATTTGAAGAAATATGTATCTTAGAATTGATGAAAAAGGTGTATCTTACATAATTAAATTCATGATCATCTTAAACTAAAACCTAAAACTTGGTGAATTCAATGATACTTAGGGTGGAAATGTTGATTTTGTTATTTTTAATCATTCAAAACCATTAAAGAATTGTAATTTTTTTCTTTAGCTTAAAACCAGAGATAGGTACATCAGTAGCCTGAAAAAGAAATGTCAGAAGGAATGTGAACAAAACAAAGAAAAGCAGAGAAGAATTGAGACCTTGGAAAAATATCTGGCTGATCTGCCAACTCTCGATGATGTACAGAGTCAGAGTCGACAGGTAACATGAAGTAAAATGCTCATCTCCTAATGACATGAAACCTGTTTTAATTTAGGTTGACTCTTTAGAAATTTAGCAATTTTTATAAATTAAAAATTTAGTTAGATATTTGGATAATCTAAGTTAAATTGGGCTGATTCTAAGTTAAATTTTTAATGGTTATTTTTAGGAGTTTATTGTAATGAAAAACTGTTCATATCAGCACGAATAGATCATTTTTTATTGGAAGTTGATATGTGGTCATCTTCACAGTGAACCTTCAAGTTGTATACTAAAGGGTTATTTTTAGACCAGTGTGGAACACCCTCCCTCGCCCCCCCACTGGTCTAAAATAGCTCAGTTCTGGCTTTTCCCAGTATTCTTTGGGCTTCACCAAGGCTCAGCATGGTCTTTTGTTGACTATTTGTCTAGCTAATTTCCTTCATTCTCTTTAATCTTGCCATAAATTCTTTGACCTCTATTTACGTCTCTGGATTCTGACCATTTTCCTTTCTTAATAACACCTCTTCTGAAGCCTTTCTACTTAACTCTGGTAGGGCCTGCTCATGTAAATTTAGTTATAAATCTGTCAGCCTTACTCTTCCAAAAGTCTTTCTAATCCAAGTTTTTTTTTTACCTCTATACCGTTCGCCTTTGTAGCCTGATTTTTTTTTTGGGGTGGGGGGTGGGGGATGTAGGAGTCTGTCCTATGCATTGCAAGATGTTTATAGCAGCATTCCTGGTCTCTCCCTCCAAGATGTCAAAAGGACTGCTTTTCTCCTGCCTCCCCATATAACCAAAAATGTTCACAGACATTTCTAAATATCCCTTGGAGGGGAAAAATCACCCTGAGTTGCAAATGATTGATCTAATGGCATGAAATGCCATTTTTTTTGGTAGACTGTACATCTACATGTTGTTGTTGTTAAGTGCTGTCGGGTCAATTCTGACCCATAGCAACTCTGAGGTACTGGGTTCCTAAGGAGCAGCTGGTGGGTTTGGACCACTGACTGTGTGGTTAGTAGTCTAGTGTTTATCCCACAGCACCATGCCAAGAATCCAAAGGTCTATATATTAGTCCCTATTTTATATTAATTTAAAAGTTGAAAAACCAAGAGGCTAAAGTCAGGAAGGAACTAAATAACCATAGGAGTTGCATCAGCAGAAACAGATCCATAAAACTTAAAAACCATGAGACTGGTCAGGTTTGTATCTCTGTCTCCTAGAAATTTCTGATCTTCATCTTCACAATTCCGTTCTCCCAGCTCCCTTCCATTCAAAAGAAAGGATCGTGTTAATAAGTACTAAAGATGAGATGAAGACAGTGTGATTTTAACCATAAGTCTACTAATGCTTAATGCTTGAGAACAAAATACGAATTTCTAATAGAAACTCGTTTAAAAGCATTGCATGTGTATTAACTTTCTTTTAAAAGTTTTTATTCTGAATTAAGTGATAGTTTACATGGGAGAATATTAGCTTTACATTCATCCTATTGTATTTGTTTCATTGCAATGATTAAAACCCCCTACAGGCATCATCAAACAACCAAAGGGTATACCCTGCAAGCCTTGGCCCCACCCCCCAGCCATCAGCACACAGACCCTCTCCCTCCTTGAGTTCAGAGTCCCCAGCCACTCCATCTCTCCACGTCATCTTCTCTGCTTCCATCTCTGGCGTCACTGCTTCTCTATATAGGGTCCCACACTCTGCTTTTCTCCCTTGATGGTCCCAGGGACCTCTGCTCCTGGACTGCAAAATCAACCACTCCCCTCCTTTTGTTACAAAACGTCTACCTTTACATTTCCAACACTCATAATCAGTCCTGATAGCAATTATTCACTTCTGAACCACAAGAGTCTTATCCTCATCTTCTTTCATCAGCCCTGTCCAGACAAGTTGGAAACCATTCAGTGGAGATTCTACCTTTCCTCCTACTTCCCTTTATTGGTGACCAATGTGGTCACCAGCAAGACTACTTGCCTGCTGGTGTATTACCTTGGAGTTTAAATCTTTAGAAGTGGGTTTGCCCTGATGGGACCCAATTGCTTGCCTTGATGGTTCCCAGGCAGCGAACAACTTGCTTATTCTTGTAGTAGTAAGTCAGACTGCCATTATTGTTTTTGTTTTTTCCTGCTAGTCTGTCTTTCAAGAAGTATCTTCTGTTCTTCTAGCCACTCCAGGCTGGTCTGCTTGTCCTTTCAAGTGGAAATTTCTCACCTCAGAAGATTCTGGATGGGGATCAGGATTCCACCTATGGTCTTATGCAATGCAAAGGCTCCATAGGAAGCCTCCTTCACTGGGCAAGTTGTAGCCCCATTTTAGGTATTCCAATCAGTTGTAGGCTGAAGATGGACTTACAAGCTTTCTGTGATGATGTTTCTGGCTAGTGTATGAGCTTTAAAAAAAAATCTCTTTAGCTTCAGGTTCTGGAAGAAAAAAATAAGAATTTGCAAGAGGCTTTGATAGATATGGAGAAAAAGCTTGAAGAGATTAAAAAACAGTGTCAAGAGAAAGAGGCTCAACTGATTTGCCAGAAAAAGAAAGAAAAGGAGTTGGTAACCACAGTACAGAGGTAAGAAAAACTGCAGCTATCTATACACATTACTTTAAAATTATTAATAATTTTCATAAATTATTTCACAGCAAAGAATTTATAACTACTGTTATATCATTCTTAGAAATGTGATGTTATGAGCCAAAAGTATAATTTAATTGAAGCAAGTTGTCTCAATTGTGAATTAACATCTCCATGCAACATGATATCTTGTCAAAGGTTTTAGATTAGAATAGTAAAAATGTACTTGAAGACTGGAAGTATCAGACAAACTTTTAATCTGTTGGCTTTGTCAAAAAATAAGTAAAAAATGTAAAGAACAACAAAAAAGCAAAATAAACAGCAAAAATAAAGATGCTCAAACTGTTCTTAATAAAATAAATTATTGATTGCACCTTATATGAGGTGCATGTACCTTTTTGCCATGTACCTTCACATTGGCTCTTATATCTTGTCTTATGATTCTCTTATCTTTAAAGTTAATACAGTTAAAATTGCAGTTAGGGTATCATTGATAAGGTCTTCATCTAATATATTTCAGCTTAGAAATGGAAACTGGATTTCTGAAAGGCCTAGAGAACTATGCTATATATATGGGCACACGTACTCTCCTTTTATGAAACTTAAGCCAATTAATAGATTACTAAAAGGAGCTCTGGTAGCGTAGTGGTTACAAATCGGGCTGCGAACCTTAAGGTTAGCGGTTCAAAACTACCAGCCGCTCCGCGGGAGAAAGATGAGGCTTTCTACTCCCGTAAGGATTTACACCCTTGGAAACCCTGTACAGGGTCGCTATGGGTCGGAACCGACTTGACGGCACTTAACAACAACAACAACAACCTTCAATAGGTAAAATGATCCTAAAGAATAAGATATCAAAATAAAAAGCTAAATGTAAGAGATATACTGTTTGTGCCTATCTATCTATTACATAATATAGTTTGTTGACAACTTTTAATCAAACTCCATCTTATAAATACATGATAAGACGGCTTAACTGTTACTTTCCAAGTCTTTAATTTACCTGGTGTACTTGTTTCCCTTGGATTTTTCCCTTGCAGAAAATCTTTGCTTTCTGAAAAAAAAATTTCATCTTCAGTGTTCCTAATCTTAGTTCCAAATTTTAAAAATTAAATGCTTTTGATTCTACCCTTATTTTTCTCCTCCTTCTTTCTTTCTTGCTCTTTAATTTCCCAACTTACAACTCCATACCTTACATTATACTTTCTAGACTCAAAACAGCTTTCTGACCTCCACTAATGCAACTGTACTTTCTCTTTCTATCAATTCAACAAAAGGAGATAATGTGTTTCTTCTGGATATATAAAACATTATGATCATAAATTCAGGCTGTATTGTCTTAGGAGCTAAATTAGAAAACCTTGAAAATAATTCTGACATTATTATTTTGTTCCATTATGTGTGTTTACATATTTAGTATGACTTTACATGTATTATTGTTGTTAAGTGCTGTCGAGTTGGTTCCGACTCATAGGGACATGTATAGGGTTTCCAAGGAGCAGATGGTGGGTTTGAACTGCCAACCTTGTGGTTCACAGTCCAGTACTGATCCTACAGCACCACACCAGGAGACCATTTACATCTATTAGCACTTCCTTTTTTATTAGCTGTTTTGAGAGCGTTGAGCCTAGTATTCTTGATTTGGAAAGATTTTGTACAGTACTTTTTAGAATTCCTTGTTGATCTCTTTATATTGACACTGATCTGTGATGACTGTATCTCAGAAAGTTTCTCTTCATCTCAGATAGATACAAATGACCAAGAAGCTCTTCTATAGTTTTTCAGTAACTGTATGACTCTGGTGTCATTTGATTTGGGTGAGTGGGTGGAGTAATGTCAGCTGTCTTGGCTCTGTAATAATATTCCTTAATGAACTTCAGATACGTATGTGACTATGAAACATTTGTTTACTTTTAGAGAATGTTTCTCAATTTCCTACTTTATGAATACTTAAGAACTACTGGAGTTTATAAATGAAATAAAAAAGTTTTCTATTAGAAATGGAATATGTGGGTGGAATCCCTAATAGAAGAGTAGGCATCTTTGCTATTAGTGAGACTTATTGTTTTCCTAACTCTGGTAGCATAATGGTTATGAATTGGGCTGTGAACCTCAAGGTCAGCAGTTCGAAACTACCAGCTGTTCCGCAGGAGAAAGATGAGGCTTTCTGCTCCCGTAAAGATTTACAAGCCTCGGACACCCTGTGCAGGGTCGCCATGAGTCGGAACCGACTCTGTGGTACTTAACAACAACAACAACAAGTGAGTATACCTCATAACCTGAAAATGTATACATGAAAGAAAATGTGTTTTTCCCCCAAGATATAGTATATTTCCCCCTTTTTGTGGCTGGCCTTGTGTATGTGTGCGTGTGGGAGATGTTAATATTTTCAATGCATCATCTTAAGCATATGTTAATATTTCAATGCATCATCTTAAGCAGTATTATGTTATAAATACATAGGAGTATCTTGATTCCAAATTGGAAAAAAAAAAGTTTTTTTAAATACAATCAGTTAATTTTTCATGTTTAGACTGAAAAAGCAAATATTCTCATGAAAAGCAATAATGTGTACTACATTGAAGTCCTGGTGTGGCACTCTAGGATAAGTACTGAACTGCTAACCGCAAAGTCAGTGGTTCAAACCCACCAGCTCTTTGGAAACCGTATATAGGGTTGCTATGAGTCAGAGCCAACTTGATGGCACTCAACAACAATTACATTGGTAATACATAAAAAATTTTCAGGCACTATTAAATACTAACACGTCTGAAGCCCTTGTTGTATTATCTAGGGTCATTTCTTGTGCAAAATCTAGGTACAGTATTACTTCTGTTTTGGAAGGAAGGAAAAACACAACATAGCTGTATTGCTCGAAAGAAGAAAAATAATGAAGATCACAAAACTCAAATGATAAGCCTATTTCTGTTAGTACTGTGTTGTTGTTGTTCAGTGCCATCAAGTCGATTCTGACCCATAGCAACCCTGTATAAGGTTTCCAAGGAGTGGCTGGTGAGCTTGAACTTCCAACCATATGGTTCAAACAGACCTTGCAGTCCAACACATTAACCCACAAGGCCACACCAGGACTCTGTTAGTGTATTGTACAACTCCTAAATATTATTCCAAGCTAAATTAGGACTGGTACTGGATTTCTTAATGTTGATTTGATTTTTATTTTGGCCATTATTGCTAATGTTCCTTTTAACCCAAACACTACTGCTCTTCCTGCCTCAAGGCTAACCTCTGTATTTTTTCCCTTTACTCTTACTCTTAATTTCCCATAAGGCACCTTTTGTTGTTTCTGCTCCTAAAATACAGCTCTGCATCATGGATAAAACAAGAATTGTTTGTTGTTGTTGTTGTTAAGTGCTGTCGAGCAACCCTATATAGGGTTTCCAAGGAGCAGCTGGTGAACTTGAACCCCTGACCTTGAGGTTTTAAAGCAACTTTTCAGTCCAGCATATTAACCAACCCATAGCACCACAAGGTCAAAGTAATAAGCATAGAAGAAATGTAATTCCACTGGTTTATGCAACAGCTTCTTTCATTTACAAGCTGTTGTGCAAACTAGTGGAATTACATTTCTTCCTTTACAAGGAAACTTTTGCTGAATTCAGAATGAAAGGCAAAAGATGTGTATCCATATATTAGAGCTTCAACTACAGGCATTTTCATCATGAACTCTGAATTTTAAGGAGGGGGAATGATCGCTAGGTTGCAGAGCTTAGGTTAGGACTATGAGGGACATCACTAGACTCTGTGGTGGTGGTAATGTTCTGACTCATAGCGACCCTGCATAGGGTTTCAGAGTCTGTAAGTCTTTATGGGAGCAGAAAGCCTCATCTTTGTTCTGCGGAACTGCTTGTGTTTCATACTGCTGACCTTGACATTAGCAGCCCGACTCATAACCACTACGCTACCAGAGCTCCTTACTAGAGTCTATAGGGTCTAAGAATGTTACTTATTGACCATCTAGCTCTTCACTCTGGGCTCAAATTTGCCATTTCTGAAAAGCTGATCAGCTACCAGGTGATTATGGCCACTGTCTACTGGTATGAAATACAAGTGTTCATCTGTTGCCTCTGTGTTTTGATTATTGTGTGAGTAAAAGGAATTATAGACCCTAAGCAGGGACTTCAGGTAGTTGAAGTCACCTAGAGGATTGTACTCAACAAGTAGCCCTATTTTCTTCATATGATTATATCTTTTTAAAACAGTTTGCAGCAAAAAGTTGAAAGATGCCTTGAAGATGGAATCCGTCTCCCCATGTTAGATGCAAAGCAGCTTCAGAATGAAAATGATAACCTCAGAGAACAAAATGAAAATGCTAGTAAGGTCAGTAGATATATTTGATAATAATGAGAAAACTTTTTATTGCGAATTGGGTGAAAGTTTACAGACAAGATCATCAGTTCTACATTCAGCAAATCATCTCAGTGATTACAGTCCCTTCCCTGCAACAACGTTTATCTCACTTCCTCCCTGTGATTACTCATTTACATCTTATAGTTCATAAATGAACAAGTTAAAAATATTTGATGTACACTTACAATACAAAAAAATATATATTCATTTAAATGTCCAAAGGGCACATTCTGCCAGCCAGCCTCCTACCCACAGGCATACAGCCACCGTCTTTGCTGTTGCCACTTTCCTGAATCGGGGTCTCACATTCTACTCATGCTCTGCTTTCTTGATGGTCCTGGGATTGTCTGTTCTTGAAATGAAGGATTTACCTACTCCCTCCTTTTAGTTTCACATCTTCTACAATTAAAGTTGTGACAATTAAAATTAAACCTGCTAACAGTTATTCACAATTGAATCATAAAATCCTATTAACTTTGTCTCCCATCTCCTTTCACCAGATCCATCTGTGAAAGAGGGACACTATTCAGTGGAGATTACCTTCCCCCACCCCTGCACCTCATTCCCTGCAACTAAGCATACTTCTAAAATCTTATAAGCCAGACACTTTGTGCCTTTGGTAGCCCCCTCATTTTTGATAGCGAATGTTAAATTTCTCATCCCTGTCAACCCAGTACACTGAGGGAACAAGGTTGTTCCTTGATAGGAAGAATCCTTCCAGTCTGGTTGGATTTTGAGTCACTACATTATTAGCCAAAAGTTTAGTTTGTCAGATTGTAGCAATTTTCCACTTGTTCTCAGTATCAAACATCTTTATCTTCCTTGGTTTGAATTCTGGTCTGCTAACCTGGTGTGGTGCTGTGGTTAATGTGCCAGACTACACATTTGAACTGCAAGGTCGGCAGTTCAAGCTCACCAGCTGCTCCTTGGAAACCCTACACAGGTTCACTATGGGTCGGAATTGACTCGATGGCATTTAACAACAACAACAGCAATCTAAGCTAGGTCAAATGGATGCTAGCTGCAAGTTTGGAAGTTCATGGACACCTACCAGCTGGCTACTTCACTCTCAGCCCTAGCCCCCAGGGGCTAGATCAGTGCCAATGGGTTTAGGAGGTCACACATCTTCCTAAACTTCAGATCAGCCAGCCCTTCCTATTCTCTCTCTCATCTCAAGGTCAACGGGTGCTTATGGAACATAGCCAGGCTCAGCCCATGTCTTCATTGCTGCATTTCCTCCCCCCAACCCCCACTTCTGCTTACAAGTAGAACCAGGTGGTCACTGTATAGTTTTGCTGATATTTAATAGCTTATATGATTTTTAGTGTAAATGTTTTTATTTGGAAAGGAAATGGCAATTTACATACATTTTAATAATTTGAATTAAAATAAAGCAACAAAATAATTCTATTTCTTCTTTTTTAAAAACGAAAGGATATCTTTTTCCTGTCTAGATTATTCAAAGTTGATTTCAGTTATTTTTATAATTTGCATAAATTAGAGAAAAATTTTATCAAGAACTAAAAGCCTTTTGCATTGTACATTTTCTGAAGTCCAATTCATGTTGTTATTTAAAGGAAAGTAGGTGTGAATACTTTTTTTTTTTTTAATCACAATTTTTTTTTCTAATCTTAAATTCTCTGGTCTCTTGTTTTCTTAAAATAATGGTGCTGTTATAAAGCAACAGAAAAAAATTGATTTGATTCAAACTGATATTTATTTCTTGTATTTTAGATAATAGACAGCCAGCAAGTTGAAATTGATGGAATGATTTTAGAAATTCAGGTAAGGAATACTTTGTGCTGATGTAGTGCTGTAAGATAAGCATTGGACTGCAAGGTCTGTTTGAACCACAAAGTTTGTGGTTCAAACTCAACAGCCACTCCTTGGAAACACTAAGCAAGCCACTAAGAGTCAGAACCAATTTGCAGCACTTAACAACAACAACAACATAGTATATAGAATAAAGACTATAGCCTTCAGTATCGATTGCAGCTCAATGTAAAGAAAACAAAAGTTCTCACAACTGGACCAATAAATAGCATCAGATAAATGAAGAGAAGATTGAAGTCTTAAGAGACTTCATTTTGTTTGGATTTATAAACAACACTCATGGTGGAAATAGCTGTCAAGAAATCAAATGACGTATTGCATTAGGCAAATCTGCTGCACATGACCTCTTTCAGGTGTTCAGTATTAAAGATACCAGTTTGAGGACAAAGGTACTCCTGACCTAAGCCATGGTATTTTCAGTTGCCTCATATACATGTGAAAGTTGGGCAATGAATAAAGAAGACTGGTGAAGAATCGATACATTTGAATTATGTGTGGTATTGGAGAGTAATATTGAAAGTACCATTGACTGCCAGATCAAACAATTCTGTCTTGGAGGAAGTACAGCCAGAATGCTTCTTAGAAACCGGGATGGCGAGACTTCGTTATCAGGAGGGACCAGTCTCTGGAGAAGAATATATTTTGGGCAAGAGAGGAAGACCGCGCCCCCCCACCCCCCAATGAGGTGGATTAGCACAATGCCAGCAGTACTGGGCTCAAACATAACAATTGTGAGGATGGTGCAGGACTGAGCAGTGTTTCTTTCTGTTATGCATAGCTATAGTCGCTATGACTTGACAGCACCTAACAACAAATAATACATAGACTAGAAACTCCCCATAGGGTTTCCAAAGCTGTAACCTTTCAGAAGTTGACTGCCTCATCTTTATCCTGTGGAACATCTGGCATGTTCCCTAGTGCTGACCTTTTGGTTTCTGCCAAGCACTTTAGTCACTGTGCTTGGGCTCCTTGTTCTGTAAAGATTATCATCTTGCAAACCCTATGAGGCAATTCAACTCTGTCCTCTAGGTCACTATGAGTTGGAATTGACTTGAGGCACAGTGGCTTGGATTTTGGTTAAACATAAAGGTCTGTTCTCTCATCATATGTTTTTCTCCTAACTTCTTTATCTTCCAATTATGCTCCTACTGCCCACGCTGCCTCAGTCCTCTCTGATGATGTTTAGGTGATGTGATGCTCCTCAAGTGTAGAAGTAACCCAGTAGTTCCTTATTATCTGTGGGATAAAGCCCTAAATTCTTAGCCTGCTATTCCTGAAATCTGCTGCTATAGCTCTTTCTTACCTCAGGACTTACCATGTTTTCACCTGCAGACATACTGCATGTAGACATGCACATGCAACACCTCAAGTCAGTTTTAGTGTTTGTAGTTCCCAAAAGTGCTATGCTCTTCCTGCAAAACCCACATGCTCAGAAGCAATACTGCTGTGAAACCTGAAAACATGCTTTTCAGAGAGCTGGTAGAATTAACCACTCTCCTTTTACCACGACGCCTCCTTTCCCCCTAGTAATTGTATTCTGTGCATTTTCTCCACATAACTCCACTAGAATGCAGCCAAGCACAACGCCTGGCATATAAGTAGGTGCTCAGTAATTATCTGGTTAGTGAATAAAAGAACAGAAGTCTGTTTCATCCACAAATTTTTGATGTGTATTGTAATGTATCCTGTACTCTTGTTAGGGTTTAAATATGGAGATGATCTACACAGTCTCCATGTTCAAGAAACTAAGTGTGGATTAGAGACACGAATATGTAAATACTGTTAACAGTTTAATAATACCAAGAGGTTCAGTCCACAGTCTTTGATCTGCATCAGTAAGTATTTTAAGTCTTCTTCACTTCTAACAAGCATGGTGGCGCCTTTTGTATGCCACAGGCTGTTAAGAAGTCTTTCTTCAATCCTGCTGCCACACTCTTCTTCATATCCTTCAGCTTCTTGGATTGTTTGCTTTGCATACAGTTGGATAAGTATGGGGAACAGATACAATCCTGATACATACCTTTCCTCATTTTAAGCCTTTCATTTGAACAGTTGCCCCCTTGTCTATGTACAGGTTCCTCATGAGCATAATTAAGTGTTGTGGGCTACTTATTCTTCACAATGTTATCTATAGTTTGTTTATCCACACAGTCCAATGCCTTTGCATAGTCAATACGGTACAATAGCACATCTTTCTGGTATTCTCTGCTTTTAGCCAAGATCCATCTGATGTCAGCAAGGATACCCCTAGTTCCATGTCCTTTTCTGAAACCTGCTTGAATTTCTGGCAGCTCTCTGTCATTTAGTGCGGCAACTATTTTTTAATTTTCTTAAGCAAAATTTTTACTAGTGATATTACTATTTGATGATTGCACATTCTGTTGGGTCGTCTTTCTTTAGACTTGTTTTGGCTGATTATATTAAGCTGCTTCATCATCTCTTCTCATTTGTTGTTGTTGTTTGGTTGCCATTGAGTCAATTCTGGCTCATAGTGAGTCTGTATAGGGTTTCCAAGGAGCAGCTGGTGATTCTGAACTGCCAGCCTTGTGATTCAAACCGATCTTTCGATCCAGTGCTTTACCCCATAGCACCATGCCAGGACTCTTCCCAGAGATACCACCAATTTGATTCCTGTGTTTTTTCATCTGGTGAGATTCACATATATAGTCACCTTTTATGTCGTTGGAAAAAGGCATTTGCCACGAATAAGTCATTGGTCACATAAATTCTATCATGTGATTCTCTAGCATCATTTCTGTCATGAAGGCCATACTTTCCAGTTGCCCATTGTTTCGTTCTGCTGTGCATGGGATCGTTATGAGTCAGTTCCGACTCGATGGCACCTGACAACAACAACAATTCTTCCTCTTGGGAGCACAGTGGCTCCATACAATAAGCACTGGACTGCAAACCATAAGGCTGAAGATTCAAGTCCACCAGTCTTTCTGTGGGAGAAAGATGAGGCCTTGTGTTCCCACAAAGATTTACAGCCTTGGAAATTCTATACAGGGTTGCAAGTCCACAGCACTTAAAACAACAGCATCCCTCCTTTTGGTTTCCAACTTTTGCATTCCAGTCACCAGTAATTATCAGTGCATCTTACATGAATGTTTAATTGATATCAGACTGAAATAGTAGTTGTTGTTAAGTGCTGTCAAGTTGGTTCTGACAGATAGCGACCTGTGTAGGGCTTCCAAGGAGCTGCTGGTGAGTTAAACCACCAACCTTGCAGTTCAAACAGCTTTGCAGTCTGGCGCATTAACCCACAGCCTACACCAGGACTCCATAATAGTAGTTTTGTTGTTGTTGTTGTTAAGTTCCATTAAGTCGATTCCGACCCATAATAGTAGAATTCTTTAATTTTAGTCTTCAGACTTAAGATGGTAATGGTGGTGGTTATGTGCCGTGGAGTCGGTTCCGACTCATAGCAACCCTCTACAGGGTTTCCGAGGCTGTAAATCTTTACGGGAGCAGAAAGTCTCATCTTTCTCCCGCAAAACAGCTGGTAGTTTTGAACTGCTGACCTTAGAGTTCGCAGCCTGATTTGTAACCACTACGCTACCAGAGCAGAGTGCTTCAATTTCGTCATCACTGGCTTTAGTGGTTGATGTGTAAATTTGAATGATAGTGGTATTTACTGCTCTTTCTTGCAGGCCTGTGAGTAGTGAGTAGTATACTAACACAGACAGCATTGTACTTTAAGATCTTGAAATGTTCTTTTTTCACTATAAATTTGATGCCTTTCCTCCTCGGCATAGTAAACCATATAGTTGTCAAATTAAAAATGGCCAATATCAGTCCATTTCAGCTTACTTGTTAAATGCTGTCGATGCCTAGAATATCAATCTTTGTGCATAACATTTCTGTTTTGATGACTTCCAGTTTTCCTAGATTCATGCTTCATACATTCCACTTTCTGATTATTAATGAGTGTTTGCATTCTATCACTGGAGAATGATATCAAGTTTGGTGAGGTGGAGGGTCAGAGAAAAAGAGGAAGATCCCTAGCTTGATGGATTCGCAGAGTGGCAGCACTAATGGGCTTAAGCGTGGCAACAATTGTAAGGGTAGCCCAGGACCGGGCAATGTTTCATTCTGTTGTGCCTAGGGTTGCTATGAGTCAATATACCGACTTGGTGGCACCTAACAACAACAACAACATTCTCATTTTGAGTTTTGCCAAAATTAGCACATGAAGATCTAGAAAGTTTTGCTCCATTCATTCACATCAGTAAGGTCAACTCTACTTTGAGGAGGCAGCTTTTACCCAGTTGTATTCTGAGTGCCTTCCAACCTGAAGGGCTCATCTTCCAGCACTATATCAGACAATATTCTACTGTTATTCATAAGGTTCTCAGTGGCTCATCCTTCAGAAGTGGTGTGCCTCTCCGTCTTCCTCGTCTGTCTTAGTCTGTAAGCTCTACTGAAACTTGTCCTTGGTGGTATTTAAAATCCAGTTACCCTGCTGGCATTTAAAGTACTGGTTACATTTAAAATACTGCACAGCTTCTAGCATCACAGTAATACACAAGGTACCACAGTAGGGTAAGCTGATAAACAAGTGGTGGACACAAGCCATTAGAACCACAAAATCATTAAGTTCCCTCACTTATTGATACCTGTGAAAGGAATTTCTATTTCAGTTGATAGTATTTTCCAGAAAATAAATATGAGTAAGTGTTCTCTCATCCTAAATTAAGGATAATTAACACATGAACATTATCATTGTCACTTGGTGAATAAGGCTCTTGATATTTTATTTATCAAATACTGTCTTTTACATTGTATTTGTATTAATTAAAATGTACTTTTTTGTATTTGTTCAGAGCTCTTATAATTTATTTTAATACCTTTGTCCAGTTTTTAGAAGAATAATTACATGTCATTCTTGTCAATATTTTACCCCTCTTTGTGGTAACTCTATATAGCAAACCATTTGACAGTTAAGTCTT